GAAGGGACACGCTCCTGCAGGGCAGGTGAGGAGTGAGGGCAGCAGAAGACATTTTCATGCATATTAGTTGCTGCAGGCAACTCCTGCCTGCTACCTCTGTGGGGTCGCCCTGGTGGTCCTGCTGGCTGGAGCATAGTCCTAGCCCTGGCCCAGTAGGCTTTGAGGCAGAGGTGGAATTAGGGCTGAGTCAAAGGGTTGGGAAGATTGTTTTTTTCCTTCATTTAAAAAATATATGCTTACTTTGGAAAATTTTTGGCATATTCAAGAAGAAAAATTCCTCATAATTGTATACCTCATGATAGATGGCTAAAACGCACAGGCGGGGGGAATTGATTCTTCTATAGTATAAGTCAGAGGGTGTCACTCCACTCCCCAAGTCCTCCTGAAGCCTTCTGTCAAAGAGTAGAAGTCAGTCCTTTTGGTGACCCTCCATTTTCTGCCTCCTACCCTGTCTCCTCTGACTCCCTCTACTTTGGTTTGAGTTCTTTGAGTGCACCAAGTACTTTCCTGCTTCACAACCTTTCCACTTGCTCTTCCCTCTGCCTAAAACCTCTAGTCCCCCACATTCACATGGCTTGCTCTCTCATTTGCTCAGAATTGAAAATACAGTCATTCTAATTTCTGATTTTAATTGAGGAGCTCCTGTTGAGGAAGGCAGTATGACTTGTCATAAATCTACTTGTTTGTGTTTGTGTGTCTCTATCCAGTGGAGTGTCAGCACTGCATGGGCAGGGACCTGGCCCACAATAGGTGCTCAGTTACTATTAATGAATGACTACACATGCATGTGTGAGCGCAGTGTGTGTATTGTGAAAATGGAGCAGGAAAGGACAGTGGCTAGAAGCTGGAGGGGGAAAGAGTGAGTATGGAGGGTGTGGAGAGTGGGGACGATCTCAGCAGGAATGGAGAGTGGAGACATGGTCCAATGTGTTCCAGCCTCTACAATCTTATCTCCTACTGGTGCGGTGAAGGGGAAGGCAGTGACTTGGTCTTTAAGGCAGGCATAGAAGCACCTGCAGAAATATAAAATCAGTGGACTTGGTCTGGGTCTATAGTATGGAGGTTCTCAGAAGCCTGGCCCTAGGGTGGGAGCTGTGGAAGGTGATAGGAAACCACTTGAAGTTGTTGAGAAAAGTGAGTAACCTGATGAAAGTGGTGTTTGGGGAGGACTGGTCTCTGGGAGACACATAGGGTGGCCGTGAGGGAGAGACTGAGGTGGGGAGGAGAGAGAGCAGTGGCAAGGTTAAGGACGTGGAACAGATGACATCAGTGAGACTGGGTCATGGCAGGGTACTCCCCAACTTTTGTGCGGCTGCCTCAACAGAGGCTTCCAGCGCTTCCAACTTGGTAGAGCTCAAGTATTGTCCGTGGGTTCCGATGAGTTTTGAGTATAAGTAGGAGAAAGGGGAAAAGGAAGGGTCATTCTTAGGTTTATCATGTTGGCGGGTCTGGTGGTAAGTGTGTGCTCATGTCCAGTGCTCACAGACTGTAACCCAGAATCGGAGGCTTTCTCTTCTTTCTGGTCTGCTGAAAACTGTTCCTGCTGAGAATAGCTGTCAGTGCTCCTGGGTTTTCCTCTGAACCTACATATATACCAGGGCAGCATCTGAAATCCATTTGTTCGATCACCTTCTTTCAACTTCATTTTCTGTCTCCGTAGTTTTATCTGTTTCTCAAAACAAATTGTCTTTGACTCACAAACCCATTTGGATTGGATTAATTGACTGGAAATACTTATTTCTAAAGAGTTTCTGAAAAAAAAAAAGTTTGTTTCATTAGGCTTCTACCCTGTTTTTAAAAAGGCTTTTGCCGAAATGAGATCAGTGGAACTGTGATTTGGGTATAATCAACATCTTTGTGATCTTTTGGTATAAGCTATACGTTGAGATCGGTGTTTCTGATGTATTCATTCCTAGAATAAGTATTTGAGTGCTTGCTGTATGCCACACACCATTGTAGGCACAGGGAATATAACAGGAAACAAACAAAAATCTTACCTTCATGGGGACTCACAATATAGTGTATGGTATGAAGTATGAGAGATGGTGTCAAGTATGATGGAGAAAAACAAAGCAGGGGTGGAGGGTAGGGAGGTTTGGTGGGGAGGCAGGTTTTCTGTTTTAAGTATGGAAGTCAGGGAAGTCTCATTGATAAAAAGACCCTTAAGGAGAGATCTACAGGAGAGGAGGAGCCATGCAGATATCCGAGGGAAAAGCCATCAGGGTGGAGAGAAAAGCAAGAGACAAAGTCCTTGAAGCTAGAGAAAGCTTGAGGAGTTTTGAGAACAGCAAGGAAGTCAGTGTGGCTGGGGTGGGAGTGAGATGGGGGACGTATAGGAGAGGAGGCCTGAGTGGTCCCGCTGGGCTTGTAAGTCCTAGTGGGACCTGAATGAGATGGGAAGCCCCTGGTTGCTCTGCCTCCTTCCTGAGAGAGATACCTTGGCTGTTGGCATGGAAGCCAAGGGGCTTCTGCAGCCACTCTTGGGTGAGATTGGGCCTGGGAGTCTGAATCATCTGGGAGCCTCTCCTGGGCCAGTCTCTTGGGCCATCCAGGCCTCCAGTGTTACCTGGAGCACAGGTGCCACTTCTGGGACTCATTCAGTGCCAATGCCATTGTTCTGTAACCGCCAGGTAACTGTCACAGCTTCGGATGCCAGGGCTCACCCCACTGCCATGTAGTTAGTTTCCAGGGAAGCCCAGAAGTCTGCCGTGTTAACAAGCTTTTTGGGTGAATTGTGAGACCAGTGGTCCCTGGACCACACTTTGGTCTATAGACCATGATTCTTAGCCCCAGAAATATCCATCATCTGTGGGGGTTTTAAAAAATGCCTGGCTGTACTCGCAAAAGATTCTGATTTAATTGGTCCAAGTGGGGGTTCAGCATTAGTGTTGGTCCTGGACTGTTCCTAATGTGCATCCAGGGCTAGAATCACTCATCTAAGGATTAAATAAGCTTCATACCTGTTAGTTCATGGGGACGTTTGAATGGGTAACTCTAAGAGACTTAATTCTGCCCCTGTGGGAAGGCAAAGGCAGGGCAGGTCACCTAGCCAGGAATAACAGGAATCTTTCCCAGTAATGTTTTATCTCATTTGACTACCTCACTTCTCTGGGCCTCCATTTCCTTGCTTGCTTGTAGAGTCAGTGGCTTAAATTTAATGGTTTCCTAGAGTCTCTTTGGTTCTGACAGTTCTTAATCTTTCTGGTGTTGGAAGAACCTCTAATCAGAACCTCTAATCTAGTGTTCTGGGACACTATTTTCTGATGTTGGTCTTAAAACGCTCTAAAGTGCCTCATAATTATGGCAGGGGATTGCAGCGAATGTCTCAGTAGCAAATTGAAGGGAGGTGTGTGCCATCTTCAGTAGCACCTTAGGAGGGTGAGGGTGTCGGAAAGCTGAAATGTGCAATCTGACCTTCCTGGTTCACAGTTCCTAGTGGAACTCCTGGCTTGGTCCTTGGAGGCAGGTGGGAGCCTGGGTGTTCGTCTTGGTTTTGTCACTCACTGGTGAGTTCCTTGTGAAGTGGGAATTGTGTTTTATAAACTGTAAAGCTTCTATAAATCCAAACATGATAGGGTGGCCAGAAAGAAGCAGCCAGCCTGGGTCAGTGAAACCCGATGCTCAGGTTTGCCAGCCCCTCTCAAAAGCCAAGCTGTGTTACTAGGGACAAGAGATAGTTTGAGTAACCTGACAGCATCCAGTGGCTGCAGGAACTAGGGTTAACCTGCAGTGAATAACCAGGCACATTCATTGGAGCACCTCAGAACTCACACACTTAGCACAGGGGGCATAAAGCACCCCTCTGCCTGGCACCCACCTCTCTGATTTTGTCCTCACTGGGACAGCACAGTGTCTGCTTCGTAGTTTATGTTTTGAAATGTGATGATCCAATGATAAGAAAAAGTTTAGGGGAAAAAAAGTTTTTCTGGTTCTCTTCTGGGGAATTGGGATAATGAGTTTTCCTCCCACCCATTTAAAATTTTTCCATTAATGTTGTCTATATCTGTACTTAGAATTCAAACTAAACTAAAATAAAATAAAATAAAGAATCCAAACTAAATGCTGGTCTCTCAAAGTTAAGATAAAAGTGAAGTCAAATGAGGGAATGCGGAATTGGAATAAGCATGAGCAGAATTTGAAATGCAACTTTTCATTCTATCATTGTGGGCATGCAGACCTGATGGGCTGCGAACCAGTTTCTCTACACTGGCCAATTAAACCCGATTCTCAGGCCCCTGTGGCCAAGCGTGAGTAGTTTTCCAAAGTTCCTGAGGTGATGCTGGTGCTCAACTGCAGTGAAGATCACCTAGCTTTAAAAAATGGGTTCAGCTTTTCTGTAACTTCTCGCATTCTTATCCCTTGCACAGTGCTTGTCCGTTTCCTGCCTCTCCCCTCCTGTGACTTTCCCCAGCTTATCTGATGTGGGCCCCTGCCCACTCCCAAGCCCTCTGCATCCTCCGTGTTGGCAGGCTTCCTGAGCTGCGTGGAGGGTACCCTTGTCTCTGCCCCCTGTGCATGCTTCCGACAAGCCTACATTTAGGGATTCAGCAGCCTGCTGGGGCCCCCTGGAAAACTATGAGGTCAAGCTTGCTGGCCATTGAGGTTGGTGACATAATACTTAACATGTGCCTTTGCTATGTTGAAGTCAGTGTCATAAGTTTACAAATATTCATTCATTGAATCTCTACCACAGCCCCCTTTTTCATATTGGGAAACAGAGAGCTGAGGAAACCTCCATAAGGTCAACTGGCTAGGGAGTAGTAGAGCTGGGAGTTGAACCCATGTAGGGCCTGTGCTCTGAACCACCAAACTGTGACGGGCAGGAGAGATGTTCTGGGGCCTGCACAAGTCTTACCTTTGAATCTGGGGCTTTGAATTTATGTTTGGAGATTTTTCTCAAGGTTTGATGTCTACTTTTATTATTGTGATTATTACCTTACTGACTTACACATTTACCTTCAGGTCTATTAAAAAACATTTTATTTTTCTTCTTTCCTTAGGTGGTGTTTGGAAACTAGACCATGTGCCTAGGTATATGTTATTCCTTTCTCCATAGCTCTACACCCCCAGCAGCGCTCACCACACCCTTGTTTTGAGAACCTCTCTGAGGTATGATGTCTAGGCTGACCTGAGCTGGCCTTGAGAAGACACAAGTGATGTCTTTATGTTCTTTGGTGGCTTTTTTTTTAATTGTGGCAAAATATACATAACAAAATTGACCGTTTTAACCATTTTTAAGTGTACTGTTCATACATGCACAATTGTAAAACCATCACCACCATCCAGAATCTTTTCATCACTCCAAACTGAAACTCTGTGCCCATTAAACACCAACTCCCTGTCCTCTCTCCCCCATGACCCTTGTAAGCACAGTTTTACTTTCTGTCTCCATGAATGTAACTGCTCAGGTGCCTAGGTTGCTAGGTGGAATCCTACAGGACTTGTCCTTTTACACCTGGCATATTTCACTTAGCATAATGTCCTCAAGGTTCATCCATGCTCTAGCGTGTATCAGAACTTGGTGCCTTTTTAAGGCTGAATGATATTCCATTGTTTATTTATATCACATTTTGTTTATCCATCATTTGTTGGTGGAAACTGGGTTGCTTTCATCTTTTGGGTATTGTGCATACTGCTGCAATGAACATGTGTGTAAAAATTCCTCTTTGAGACCCTTCTTTCAGTTCTTTTGGGTGTATACTCAGAAGCAGAATTGCTAGATTATATGGTGATTGTATGTTTAGTTTTCATTAGGAACTGCCATATGGTTTTCCATAGTGGCTGCACCATGTGTATTCCTATCAGCAGCACACAAGGAGAAATCCACATCTTCACCAACACTTGTTATTTCCTGAGTGTTGTTGTTTATAATAGCTATCCTAATGGGTGTGACCTTTGCTCATCTAGTTGGACTCAAGAGTGCGCCAACCAAGCGCCCAGTCCTGAGAGTGCTGAAATATACACATGTAGAGAAAATAGTGGGATAAACCTCCGTGTACTCCTCACCCACATCCAAGAGTTATTAATTCTTGGCTGATCTTTTTTCATTTATAAATATCCTCCCTGATCTCTTCCTCCTGCTCGGTATCATTTTGAGGCAAATCCCAGACATCTCATCATTTTTATTATTTATTGATTGATTTTTAAAGATTTTATTTATGTATTTGAGAGAGTGTGTGTGTGTGTGTGTGTGCGCGCGCGCACACGCACAAGTGGGGGGAGAGGCCAAGGGAGAGAGAGAGAATCGAAAGCAGACTCCATGCTGCCTGTGGATCCTGACACGGGACTCAGTCTCATGACCCTGAGATTGTGACCTGAGCTGAAAATCAAGAGTCAGATACTTAATCGACTAAGCTACCCAGGTGTCTCAATATCATTTTACATGTAAATATTTCACTTTGTGTCTTAAAAAGCTAAGGAATTTCTATATTCCATTTTGTCTGATAGTAGAAGGGCATATAGGGGTGTTTCTTATTCTCTTTCATTCCCTGGGAGCATCCAGTGGGCACACATGTGGACACCTGATGTTGGATCTGTTGCTATACCGTGTTGTTGGTGAAAAGCTGCCTTGACTGGTGCCTTGCTTTCCTGAAGAAGGCTGACTGCCCTTAGGTCTGAGTAGCAGTGGTGAAAGAGCCCATCCAGTCTCTGTTGAGAGGGAGGAGACAGAAGAGGGAGGAAGAAAGGATGAGGAAGAACGTGTGTGAGAGAGTGATGAAGATACCCCAAAAGCATGTTCCTTGCCCCCTCCTCCCCGCCCCCAGAAAACCTTTGCTTTTGGAATCTTTGGGACTATAGTTTCCCTGTGGTAGATGGGACTGGTGACACATGGAGAGCCACCAAAAACATGGGTACTCGAAATGGGGAAAAAGTAGAATGAGTACTTTTTGTTTTCTGGGGCACTTTTGTTTGGGGAATGGAGGCTTGGTTCCCAGCAGGTCTGAGGCCACTGGCTTTTTGCTTAAATTTGGGCATCCCTACTGCCAGGAGATGATGCTTTTACAGAATTCCTTGACGATGCTGTGTGAACAAAGAGAGGAGTCCTGTCTCTCTCCCTTCTTAGTCTCTGGGTTCTGTCTCTTTCTAACAAAATGCAGTGCCTGGTTAGTACTGAGATCTGTTTTCAAGTAAGGAAAGGGAGAGGCGGTAGAGGTTACAGAGTATCAGTTTTGTGTTGGTTCTCAGCTTTGTTTAAACTTTGTTGCCTATATCTACTTTCTCTGAGTGTCATCTCAGTTGGCTGACCAGGGCTGCCTAATCCCAGCTCCCTCCGCTTTTATCTCCTCTTCTTTTTATCTTTAAAAATAACAGCTTTGTTGAGATAAAATTGATATTATCATGCAACTCACCCATTTAAAGCACACAATTCAGTGGTTTTTAGTATATTCCCAGAGTCATATTCCCTTTTAAGACTGAAGACTACTCTGTGCCCTGTTCTTCCCTTTGGTTCTCTGAGGTGACCCTCCTTCTCTGCTGGTGTCACACTAATCCCATCCTCAAGATGGATGACCTTATTGTGGGGATGTTGGCCAGTAGGCTCTTGGCACCATCCAGTACTGAACTTAATCCCCAGAAGCCCAGGACTCACAGATGACTGCTGCTTCGAGCAGACCCCTCTTGCTGGCCAGGCCCCATCACCACTCAAGTTCTCTCGTTTATGGCAAGTTTTAAAAAGTGAAACACAAAATATGTTGCAAACTTGCCAACTATTTGACTAGTAATAAACCTGCTTAGGAATCTGACTGTCCTTGAGCAATCTTAGTTCTGGACAGATGAGCCTGTCAAATCATTCCCCTTTCTAACAGTGGATTACCTTTCAGTAAACACCCTTTGTACAGAGACAGTGGAGACACAAGTGATTATATGACATACCAGGTGGTGGGAAGGGCTTTGAAGAAGCAGCAGGTACAGGACTGAGATTGAGGGTGAGGATGAGGATGGGCACATTACATACCCTGGTCATGGAAGACTGGAAAAGGGATGTTTGGTTTTTTTTTTTAATAAATTAATTTTTATTGGTGTTCAATTTACCAACATACAGAATAACACCCAGTGCTCATCCCGTCAAGTGTCCCCCTCCGTGCCCGTCACCCATTCACCCCCACCCCCCGCCCTCCTCCCCTTCCACCACCCCTAGTTCATTTCCCAGAGTTAGAAGTCTTTATGTTCTGTCTCCCTTTCTGATATCTCCCACACATTTCTTCTGGAAAAGGGATGTTTGTATCAAGACCTGGTGGCAGCGAGGAGTGAGCCCCTGCAGGTCTGAGGGGAAGGACGTTCCAGGCAGACGGAACAGTGGACTCAAAGGCTTAGAGCAGGAGTGTGTTTGAAGAACAAGGCAGAAGCCTGAGTGTACCTGGAGTGGACCGAGTGGCAGAGAGAGGATTTGGAGGCGGAGGGTACTTAGAGCCTCCCAGCCATGAAGGCTGCCCTGCGTGAGACGGGACCATGTCCGAGGAGAGGAGTGTGATCGATGGGTGTCGTAAGACCAGCACTCTGGCTGCTGTGTTGAGAATGAGTGGGGCAGCAGGCATCTGCAGGGACCCAAAAGAGAGATGATGATGGTGGAGGTGGTGGGAAATGGTTGCATATGGAAATATTTTGAAGGAGCACTTGACAGGATTTGCTCTTCAATGGGAATTGGGGTATGAAGGCAAGAGAGCCCTGAAGGGTGTCGAGACTGGCCTAAGCAACTGGAAGGACAGAGTGGTCACCTGCTGTACAGGGACATTGAGAGTTAGATTCTGGACCTAAGCTGTCTGAGATGCCTGTCCAAGTGGAATCCCAAACCTAGAATTGAGGAGAATACCAGTTCAATAATTTAGGGGGTACCTATAGTGGGGCTAATGAAATAGAAGAGAATATTTTACTGAAATAACTCCAGCAAAAAAAGTGAAAATTATGCCCTGAAAGGAGTGAGGGAAACACCAGGGAGGTCACTGGGGTGACCCAGTCAGAAGGTCCATCCCCCTTTTCTGTTGGAAGTCAGGGCCCTTGGTGAGCCTTCCATGGCACCTCAAGTGTGTGGCTGCTGTGTGTTTCCAGCGGGGTAGGGTGTGTGAGTGTGTGGGTGCTTGAGAATAGTGGCTGGGCCTTCCCTTTATGTTCTCTGCCAGATGTAAGTCTTGTCATTTGGTAAATGTTTGACAGGAGATTTTCTTCTTTAATTCTTTCTTTTTCCTTCCTTCCTTCCTTCCTTCCTTCCTTCCTTCCTTCCTTCCTTCCTTCTTCTTTCCTTCCTTTCCTTCCTTCCTTCCTTTCCTTCCTTTCCTTTCCTTTCCTTTCCTTTTCTCCTTCCTTCCTTCCTTCCTTTCTTTCTTTTTCTTTCTTATCTATCTATCTATCTATCTATCTATCTATCTATCTATCTATCTTAATTTTAAGTAATCCCTACACCCAATGTGGGACTCAGATTCCTAATCCTGAGATCAGGAGTGGTACACTTCACCAACTGAGTCAGCCAGGTGCCCCTGACCTGCTTTCTGAGCCTAAGGTGTCCATGTGTTTCCAAATGAAGAGGTTGGACTCGGCCAGTGCACTGGAATCAACTGGGAGAGTTAAAAAAAAAAAAGTGGGGATCTATCCCAGACTTGTTGAGTCACAATTTCCTAGCAGGAACCTGGGGTTCTGTACTTTCAAGTCACTCCCCATGGTATTCTTTTGCAGTCGGTCCCGGAGCAGTCTGCAGACGTCGATTTGGAAGCCGCTGGACCAGATCATTTCTGAGTTCCCCTTCAGCTCTAACATCCTGTGAGTCTCATTAGAATGTTTGCAGCATAATTCTCTTCCTGGGCAGTGGGGTTTTTGGTGGGGGTAGGAGAGCGGGGAGGGGGAGAGGAGGAACTGCCTCTGGGCAAAGGGCACCTCTGGCGGGAAGAATGGGCAAGGCTCTCAGCCCTGGTTGGGGGTGGGTGGGAGCATGAGCAGTGAGCACCAGCTTGCCTTGGGGATCCCAGTGTGTTAGCTCTCAGGAACAGAGGTAAAGGACATGACCTGAACTTTGGAGAGGCTTATGGGCTGATGAGAAAACTCAGGATCCCTTCACTCTGTAGGAAGTACACCATAGTGGAAGGGAGGGGGAGCAGAAAGAGGGCAGGGGACCTGTGTCACAGCACTCAGGAGGTATGAGGAGAAGGGGCCCTGGAGCAGGACCTTGGGGCCGAGGAATTCTCGGGCAAATCTGTGTTGCGGGTTGGGGCCAATGGATTGGGTTAGTCGGGAGGAACTACCCAGGCCCTGACACAGGGGAAGTCTGTGAGAACCACTAGTGAATGAAAGGCACCCTTGGGAAGTGGTGAGAGAGGTGGGCAGAGACCAGATGAGGAGGGGCTCTCCACACTGGGTGGAGACTTGAGGTGTCTCCTGAAGAGGGTGGGCATTTTTTTAAGAGATTTTATTTATTTATTCATGAGAGACACAGAGTGAGAGAGGCAGAGACACAGGCAGAGGGAGAAGCAGCCTCCACGCAGGGAGCCCGACGTGGGACTCGATCCTGGATCTCCAGGATCACGCCCTGGGCTGAAGGTGGCGCTAAACCGCTGGGCGACCTGGGCTGCCCCAGGATGGGCATCTTAAGCAGGACATCTCTGTGATTAGATAGATGTTTTACAGCACCCACGATAGGAGAGTGTGCGTTGGAAGGGGCTAAAACGAGATGGAGGAGAAGATGAGTGAGAAGCTTTACTGTTTTACGTGGGTCCGTCGTCCACTGGGGCACCTGCTTTCTTGTCCTGTTGAGCGTCTCTTTGGGCTGCCCTTGCTGATGATTAGAGTACCAGGTGCCTCGTGAAATGAAGCACCGCTCCTGACCAGCTCAGAACACCTGTGTCTCGGGGCCCCCTAGGACCCACAAGCAGGCCTCAGGTGTGCTCAGGAGGGCAGTGCTTGGCCTAAGGGAGAGAATCTCCTTGTCACTTCAGGTGTGAAGTTTTATGTAGAAATCCATAGTTTTAGGTTAACTTGCCCAGCCGTTGTAGCCTCGCCTGTTCAAGGAACAGAGATCCTTCACTGACGCCTGCTCAAGATCTCCTCATAGGTAATTGATGACAGCATATGGGCGAAAGCCATTCTTGCACTTCACTGTTTCTTACTCTTTTTGCTCTACTGTTCCCTGGCCTGGGGCTTCATTCTATGTCTGGGAACATGGGACTTTATCTATGTCCTTTGATTTCATTGAGCTACCTTCTCTACCACTCACGGGCTCAATGTCTTTCTCTTATTGTTCAGCCAGAGTCCAGACTGAAGCTCCTACAAGTCACAGGAGCAGCAGCTTGCTCTCACTTGTGCTCCTTTGCTCTGTCTTTCCCCTTGTATAGCTTCCATTTCTGGGACAGAAGTTCCCCCACCTGGCCACCAGCTCAGGCATTTTCTTCTGCTCTCACTTTTTAAGCAAGCACTCGTCTCATGCCTGCTTGCTCTGTCTGTGTATCATACAGCTTGAATTATTATTTGCTCTATTTTCCTCTGGAATGCTCCTTCTAAAATAGAAAGCTGAGGGTAACTTCCACTTACCCCTTTGTAAACTCTTAACAGTTATAACAATAATTGAACACAGATTTTATCAACATGTAAGCTGTATTCAGTCATGTGGGGAGCCGGGCAAAGAGTTTACCCACAGGGTGTAAAATATATACACATCCATCCTTCGAGTCCTTCTCCAACAAAAAATAGTAAATTCAAGGAAACTGAATTTTATGGTTGACCAGTCCAGTGTTCCTTGAATCTTGCTGCCTTTAACTTTCGTAGTTTAAATCCATAATGTGTTGTTTGCTTCCTTGTCTTATTAAACAATATACTGAGTAGAGATCAGATTTTTCTTAATGTTTTCGGAGTGCCTCTGTCCCCTTGATGTCCTGTCTGAACTTACATTAATCTACTGTTATTGAACTTGATACTGTTAAGAGAAACAGATGACCAAGTTTAATGTTATTCGAAGTTCAGAGGCTTCAATGCTGAGGGAAAGGAGGCTCATAGGTTTAGTGATAGTTCCTTGTTCCTAGCTCCTCAGAGCCCCCTCCCTCTTTTAAATTTCTGGATTTAAATAAGTGTGGATGTTACTACATTTATGTATTTTACCTGTGACAACTTCAGTGTATTTTCTGACTAATGAGTAATCTCTTATTTGTCTGCATCTTTTATTTCAAATTTCAGAATGCTTCCCTTTCTTCTTTAGTATTTTGAGGTTCAATTAACAAAAGTATATGTCAGTTATTCTCCCCCTCTCCCCCAAACCTTTGTCTCTCCAGAATAAAAGAGTTCTAATTTTTAAGCTCTTATTAGAAAGCTCTTCCATCTACTTTATAACTTTAGTCTTATTTCTTAGGGCCTCTTCCTTCTCTGGTATGTCTTTCTTAAGCTACAGCGAACCAAAACTGGACAGCATATCTGGCTGCGGACACTGGGTGGTTTTGATTAAGGGCAGTATCACAAACTGTATTTCATTTCCAGTATTCTTTCTGATAATGCCAAGTGTTATCTGAGTCTTTTGGGATGAAACATGCAATATTGGCTGATGGCCAAGCCTCTTTATTGAACAGTGTAGCTGAGAACCCATTACTGTAAAAGTGTCATTAGGATTGCTTTTCCCTCAATGTTCCTTCACATTGGCCTCCACTGGTGTTCCTTTGCCATAATTTCATCCATTCATATAGCCTCTTGAGAACTTGTTGTCTTTTAATTTTGTATTTTGATTTCTGCAACAGTTTTAAGGCCATTTGCAGTCTTGAAGATTTCACTTTATTGCTTGATGGTGTATTTATTGAGTACTTAATGGAGAATGCAGTGATGAATGAGACAGATAAGCCTCTTCCCTCATGAAACTTACAGCCTAATATTCTGCTAGATCATTGGTTCTCAAAGCATTTTGAATTTTTTTTAATTTATTTATTTATGATAGTCACACACAGAGAGAGAGAGAGAGGCAGAGACACAGGCAGAGGGAGAAGCAGGCTCCATGCACCGGGAGCCCGATATGGGATTCGATCCCGGGTCTCCAGGATCGCGCCCTGAGCCAAAGGCAGGCGCCAAACCGCTGTGCCACCCAGGGATCCCAGCATTTTGAATATGAGATCTCCTTTTTAAATTAATGTTTTCACAGGCTCTCATTCAGTAGTGGTATGTATGTAATACATATGCATTTATTTATTTATTTATTGATTGATTGATTGATTGATTGATTGATTGTAGGCTCCATGCCTAGCATGGAGCCCTGTATGGGGACTGAACTCTACGACCTTGAGATCAAGACCTGAGCTGAGATCAAGAGTAGGATGCTTAACTGACTGAGCCACCCAGGTGCCCCAGTAATGATGGTTTTTGTTCTTGTTTTGTTTTTTGAGAGGGTGAGGGAGGGGCAGAGAGAATCCCCAGTGGGATCCTCACCCAATGTGAAGCCTGATGCAGAGCTGGATTCCACAACCCTGAGATCATGACGTGAGCTGAAATCAAGAGATAGATGCTCAGCCTACTGAGCCACCCAGTTGCCCCAGTAGTGGTATGGTTTGTTTTGTTTTGTTTTAAAGATTTTTTTTATTTATTTGAGAGAGAGAGCGAGCCCATGAGTGGGGGAGGAGCAAAGGGAGAGAGACAAGGAGACTCCTTGCCCAGTGCAGAGCCCAACGTGGGGCTCGATCCCATGACCTCGAGATTATGGCCTGAATCAAAATCAAGAGTGGGACTCTCAGGCAGCCCCGGTGGCGCAGCAGTTTAGCGCTGCCTGCAGCTCAGGGCGTGATCCTGGAGACCCTGGATCGAGTCCCGCGTCAGGCTCTCTGCATGGAGCGTGCTTCTCCCTCTGCCTGTGTCTCTGCCTCTCATTCTCTCTCTGTGTCTCTATGAATAAATAAATACAAAATCTTTATTTTTTTATTTTTTATTTTTTAAAATATTTTATTTATTCATGATATAGAGAGGGGAGGGCAGAGACACAGGCAGAGGGAGAAGCGGGCTCCATGCCGGGAGCCTGATGTGGGACTCGATCCGGGGACTCCAGGATCATGCCCTGGGCCAAAGGCAGGCGCTAAACCACTGAGCCACCCAGGTATCCCCCCAGTACAAAATCTTTAAAAAAAAAAAAAGTGGGACTCTCAACTGAGTTAGTAGTGGTGTTTTTAATGTCTGGTCACTGGGACCACATATGTGTATATGAAGTTGGGTATTCTTATGGGTTGGGAACTACGATTTATGAAAGTATTAAGCTCGAGTCCAGACCTGGTCCATGGGTTCAGAACTCCACTCCTCGTGGTTCTTCATAAATGACAATCACACTCACACATACATACAACATACATTCACCCAGGTTTCAGTTTTTTAAAATTATTTTTTGGTGGAATTTAAACATTTAGAGTCTGTGGAGATTCTTACTAGTGCTGCCATAATCATATTGTTTCTACCCCCTCAAAGAATTCTAATAGGCTAATCAGGCCTGATAAAGTCTTTTTTTTTTTTTTTTTTGGTGATAAAGTCTTTTTAGAATTAAGGTGTTCCTTCTCCTTCATCTGTTGATATGTTTACTTAAGTGTTTGATAAAATTTCTTGGGCAAGTAGTAGATCCTGTAATAAAAAATAGGGATATCTATATATTTTTAAGTTTTTATATCTTCCCTGAAGAGAAACTTACCTAGAAAGAGTACGGTGTCACTCTGAACAGTCATGGAATTGCTCCTTATCCCCATGAGGGTGGCTCATGTTGTACCATGGTTAGCCTAGGCCGCAGAGAACTGGTGAGCCTGCCTTGCCTATTGACTAGGCCA